TAACAAAAGGGGCATTGAATCCAATCTAGACAAGATCAGAGTTATCCTAGAGATGAGATCTCCCTCCTTTGTAAAGGAGGTCCAACGCCTTAATAGAAGGATAGCAGCTCTTAGCAGGTTGTCTCAAAATCAACAGACAAATGTCTACCTTTCTTTAAGATCCTTTGCAAGTTTTTCGAGTGGGGACCGGATGCAGAGGAGGCCTTCCAAAATTAAAGGCCTACCTTGTTACGCCTCATCTACTCTCCCATGATGTACCAAGAGAGACCTTTTATCTCTACCTCTCCTTCTCGCCCTCAACTGTGAGATTCGTCTTGGTTAGGGAGGATGAAGGGATCCAAAGGCCTATGTATTATGTAAGTAGGGCATATTGAGGAGCAGAGTTGAGATACTCTGAATTAGAGAAGTTGGCACTTGCACTTGTCACCGTCGTTAGGCGTTTAAGCCACTATTTTCAGAGCCACATCATTGTGGTTATCACATATCAACCACTCAAGGGAATTCTTAGAAAGCAAAATGTATCTAGCTGACTCCTCAAATGGGCCGTCAGGTTGAGTGAGTTCGACATATAATACCAGTCGAGGGCGGCCATAAATGCACAAGCAATTACAGACTTTGTGGCCAAATCTACGCTATCTGAAGAATATTCCCAAAATGAGTGCCCTGCGACACTGCGCTTATCTGTCCAATACACAATGCCTTAACTCACCATAAAGAAAGTCCAAGCACCATCCCTAGATAGTCTGACGCCTTGGAGTCATCCCCCCATGCCCCTAAAGTCTAGAATCCTATGCCAGGGGTGCCTAGTTCCCTTGTACCTATTCCTCTAGAGTCCTCAGCACTATTGTTGCCCAAACCCCAACCTGTCACGCTCCTGCCTAAATGCCCTGGAACGCTTAAATAGGCATCTCCCACTAGCATAGTATCATGCTGGAGATTATATGTAGACGGATCCTCCATTAGCGAGGGCGGCAGCGCAAGGCTGGTGCTAATTAGTCTCCATGACACTCCGCTCAAGTACGTTATCTCCCTCGTTTCACAACATCAAACAACCAAGCAAAATATGAGGCCCTCATATCAGGCTTAAAACTCGCAATTGAGATGGAAGCCCTTTGCCTGACAGTTTATAGCGATTCTTAACTAATAGTCAGCTAGGTAAAATAAGACTTTGAATCGAAGGAGAAAAATATGGAAGAATACCTATCAATGGTCCAAACTCTGTTGAAAAATTTTAACCATTTCTACATTCACCATGTGCCCAGGAAGGAGAATGTCATGACAGATGCACTCGCCAATTTCGCATCTGCAAACATACTAATGGGCCCAACATTGACAGGCCATCAGTTTGAACCATGCAGGCTCAAGGCAGAGGAGGACGATGTTAATTGTGCATCCTCCAAGACCAATTGGATGACACCTATCCGAGCCTACCTAGAGAAAGGTGCTCTCCCAGATAATCTAGTGGAGGCCAAATAGTTGAGAATGAGAGCATCTAGATACGTCATCCTACGTGACACCCTTTACAAGAAAAACTACTCACTACCACTACTCCACTGCATCTCCCCTAAGGAAACTGATTATGCCATAAGGAAAATCCACGAGAGAATATGTGAAAATCATTCAGGAGGGTGTGCACTAGCTCACAAGGCAGTGAAACAAGGCTACCATGATCAGAGGCACCCGTGAGTTTGCAAGGAAGTCTGATAAATGCCAACGCTTTGCAACAATGTCGAGACAACCACTAGAAGAGCTCACCACCATCTTGAGTCCATGGCCCTTCTCCATGTGGGGGATCAACATCTTAGGTCCCTTACCTACTAGTCGGAGCCAATGCAAATTATGGTGGTAGCTATTGACTACTTCACAAAGTGGGCAGAAGCTGAATCTTTAGCCAGAATAATAGACCAAAAAGTGAAGGACTTCATCTGAAAAAACATAGTATACCATTTAGGAGTACCTCATGCAATAATAAGTGATAATGCTAAGTAGTTTGACAACAACCTCCTTAATAGCTTATGTGCTGACCTACAGATCAAGCAAGCTCACTCCAGCCCCGCCCATCCACAAGCAAACAAGCAAGCGGAGGTCGCCATCAGAACAATCCTTCGTAACTTAAAGACCAAATAGGAAAGTGCCAAGGGGCAATGGGTGAACAAGCTCCCTGTAGTACTATGGCCTTACCGGACAACTCAAAGAAGCCCTACAGGTGAAACCTCATTCTTCTTAGCCTATAGGATAGATGCGGTTATACCAATTGAGATTAGGGTACACTTTCTTAGGGTCCAACACCATAACCCTACCACTAATGAAGAAGGCCTTCGTATCAACCTCGACTTGATAGAAAAGGAGAGGAAGATTGTCATGCTCAGGGATGCGGAGTATAAGCGCTGCATAACCAAACACTACAACTCGAGGGTGAAGCCTTGCTCCTTCTTGCCTGGGGATCTAGTCCTCAAAAAAGTTATTATGTCTACCAAATACAATTAGGAAAAGAAGTTAGGTTCCAATTGAGAAGGACCGTACATGGTGACAGACGTTGTACGACCAGACACTTACAGAATTCGGAACTCTAATGGGAAAGCCCTGACCCATCCATGGAACGCGGAATAGCTGCAGAGGTATTATCAATACAGGGGTACAAGTCAGTGACTATCATTTAATTTGTCTTTTGTTGCTTCAGTCAATTCTTTTTGTTATCTATTTTAAATTATGAAATAACTTCACAAGAGTTATTTTCTCTAAAACTATCTCTCATTCCATAGAAGTTTGTAAACAATTTACAAAAGTTAGAACATGACCTGATAATAAAAAGAGAGACAAAATGATAAAAGTTAACATACTCCCAACATCACTCACTGCTCCCCGATCCACTCTCATCAAAGCTCTCTCCGTCACATCAGTCCACAATGCCTCATATGAGACGAAACCAGAAAAGTCAATGGCAGTGAAAGTTGTTGAGACCTTCCCCCTAAACTCCTTATAACTATCAATAAAAGTGCCTGCAACGGCCTTCTTAGCAGTCTCCCTCCACCTCTTCATCTCAATGGAGTAAGCCTCCACCATGGAGGCTCTCTTATGAGCTACTCGTAGATCAGCCTTTGTCACAACAACTCTTTCCCGAACTATCCGTAGCTCAGTCTCAGCTCCAACGGCCCTCTCGCGGGACGCCCACAGCTCTGTCTTTACTCTCGCGCAAGTAGCCTCTCTATCAATCTCTAGCTGGGTGGCCCTATCGTGGGACGCCAAAAGCTCGGCCTCAAGAGGTGTAACTCTCTCGTGAGCAAGCCTCAACTACTCCTCATCAACCTCTCGTGCCTACCTCTCATTTGTTAGATCCCTTGATGCCTCTCCACACTTGATTGTCTTTGAAAAAAGGTATAGAAAAGCAGTAGCCACCTGCAAGCATTCAAAAGGCAAAACATGAAAGAAAAGGCAAAGCGCAGAAGTCAGAGCTCAAAAGGAGGAAAGTATACCATAGCAAAACCCTCCATCACAGTGTTAATAATGCCTTCTAGACCCCGACAGCTGACCTCTCTAATATCCGTGGCCGTCACAAATCTCCAAAGTTGCTCTTTCACCAGATTCATATCCTGCAGCATGGACACTAAACCACTACTAGAAGTCGGACAACTACGTGGAGCCCTTGTCCCGATAGAGGGCTACACATGAGTCTCAACTCCTGAAGTAGTGGTCGGACTAACCCCCACACTTGAAGGAGTTATGTGCTGAGAAAGAGTAGGGGCACCCTCTAATCCAACCTCCTATGATATAGCATAGCCAATGGACCGTCGAGAGACACTGGGGGCATCGACCTTCGCCCTCTTGGGAGAAGGAGAAGACGTCACCCTAGAAGCATAGAGAGTCTCCACCATCACTCTATCAACAGTGGTACATGTGGAACTGGTATAAGAAAAATAATCTACAGTATGGCAGTCATCAAAGTTCATTGAAAGAATTAGATACCCTAGCTCTTTGGCCTAGGGGAGGCTCTGGAATGACCTGCAGCAGACATAAGGGCCGCAAACTGCTTGATAGGATGATCTCGCATGGCCTGAAGCCTACTCTTCTACTCCGAAGATAACATGGTAGAACCTGCAAAGGAACCAAACATGCAGTGAATACAAGGGAAATGACAGTCAAATGTAAAAGCAAAGGTAAAACCCTATCCTAGCTTGGTCCTCAGAACAGTGTCCCACCTGGAAGGCATTAAGTCACGATCCTCCTTAACGCCCACTCACCTCCAACAAAGAAAAACCATGATTTTCAACTATGACAATTTGAAGGAAGTCCAGTAATAAACTTACCGGACCTTGGAGCAAAGAGGTACCACTTCTGATGAGGAGTAAATAGAATTATCCAGAAGTACGTATGTAGCCAAGAACTCCTCAAAAGGGGGAGTAATAAACTTGCCGGACCTTGGAGCAAAGAGGTACCACCCCTAATGAGGAGTAAATAGGATTATCCAAAAGTACGTACAAAGCCAAGAACTCCTCAAAAGGGGGAGAAACATCCTCGCCAAGAACTAACCGTCATAGTGAGAAAAACGTCAAGATTACCCTCTAGCCATTCAAGGTCAATCTCCCCGCAATAAGGACAAGTGGCCCAATATCCAATAGATAGGCTCGGGTATAGGAAATCTTAACCCTACTTCTAGGGCGTCCTCATAAAAAGCTATCTCGCCGGAGGAGTGAAAACATACTGGCTCATCCATTTCTGCCCGGCTGCAAAGGACAGCGGGAGAAATATGAAAGGATGACCCAATGTAGACAATGTCATCATCACAATCTATGGAACTAAATATGGAGGTTACATTCGAACCGTCACCTTCAGCAGTCCCCTTGCCTCACTGTGAGTCTTGTGTAGCATTCTTCATCACGCCGTTGTCAGAGTGGGCGCTTGCCAAAAAATAGAGCCAATGTCATGGCAAAGTCAGAGAGTCAATGTCAAGAGAATGCCAAAATAACTAAGCCCAGCTTGACACACCTATTTGCTGACCTCCACTAACACCAGAACTGCCTGTCTGAGCCCAAGTTACTCAACACTCCCCAAGCACCAGCGTCTAGCATCGTGTTTGCGCCAAACCCCAAGGTGCCACTAACTACGCCAATGCTGAAGGCGTCTCTAGCTTGGCCATCATTTTCCCTGCTTTCGCCTAGGGTGTTGCCGCCCAGCGTGTCACCTGCACCTGGGGTACCATCGCCAAGTCTTCCTATTTTGCCTAGGGTTTCGCTTGCATCACCCAAGTCACCTTCAGTCGAGACATCACTCCAGTTGTCGCTGGTGTCTCCACCAGCACCCCTAATGTCTCCCATGTCTTCCTCGTAGCCGGTGTCAGTGTAGGGCGTCACCAGCCGCGCAATGGGTGCCGCACGCCACTTTGGTGTCACCCCAACCCACACCATGGGCATCGTCTGCCACTCCGCTCTTACCCACACCATGCGCATTGCCAAGCGCACACTTGGTGCTGCCTTCACTAACCTAGTTGGCGCCGTCTTCTGGCTTGCCTCCTCTGGTGCCACAATGAGAATCCATGAAGGGCTTCGTCATGGTGTCGCCTAGGGCTTTGCTAGACTTTGCCAAATGACTGTCAACATCTGATCCTACCTAATATTCCACTGTGACGGCTTTGTTTGTCGTCAAAACCTCCATCTCCACCTTCTGTCTGAGGAAGCTATCACCATGTAGAGCAAGAAACCTTTGGCTATCCAAATGAAAGGGCTCAGTCATACCCTTAACCCTTTTTTGCTAAAACTAGGGCATGGGGTATAAGGGCAAATGACGAGCCCAGATCCAACTGAGTCTAGGCCCAAGTCATAAGGAAGCCTAAATCAGTTAAAAGGTAGGTCAAGTCCAACTCGTTGCCTCAGCCCAATCCAGAGTTCAAGAGATTCAGAGGATCAACGCATGTGGGGAGCAATCATCGAGATAATTGTTGCTCGAAGATCACGTCTATCCTTAGTTATATCTATCCTCTCTGAAAGACTAGTAACCTACTCTTCATGCCACCGCATTAACTAAGGCTCTGTACTTATAAATTGTAAATCCTCTACACATGAGGGACATGTCTCTTACACAACTATCTCTCACATATCTATCTCTCTCATACACTACACCCAAAGCTTACCTTTGCTCTCTCTCTCTCTCTCTCTCTTACTACTTTATTAATAAAGTTCTTCGACCACCATCACCGCCTTCAATGGTTTGGTCACCTAGGCTTAACCCCCCAATCTTTGCCTTTTGTTATTAATTGCTTCATTAATTACTCTGTCTTATATACTTGACTGTTTGATTGTGCATAGCCTAATTTATGCATCATCAGGTTAAATTATGAGATGAAAAATGATTAAGTGAAATCTAGAAAGAGATAAAAATTAGTGATGTGTAAAAATAAGTGGAAAGGAAGATGCGAAAGTGTAGTTACATACAGAGATTAAAAAAGAAAAGAAAAAAAAAGGAAGGGTGAGTCATTGGAAAAGTGTCCACCGTTGGGAGAAAGCCATGTCAAAGGCTCTGTGTTGGCTTTTCATAGGAAGAAAGTTACTGTATAATACTCTTATGAGTGTGGTTAAGTTTGGGAAAATAAAAAAAAACAAAACAGAGAAACAAAGAGAGAAAGAGAAAAGTCTTGGCCGGGGGAGGCTCAACAGCATTAAAAAAAAGCTTGGCCTTTAGGCCTTAAATTTTTAAAGGACTCCATAATTTTACACATATTTAGCATTGAGTATTTTTTTTAAAACTTATTTGGCTTTAAATACCTTAATCAGACTTTTATTCTATTAAGTCCTCTTTTTCATCAATTATTGTCATTAAGTATACATTTTAAATCCTTTTTTTTTTGGTATTACCTAATTATCCTACCATAAATATTGTCTATCATTTTTAGTTTCTATATTTTCAAATTAAACAACTCCTAACTTGGGAATTGTGCTAGCATTAAAATTATTTTTCTATCATACCAATATATATATATATATAAGTTGAGAGAACTTGGAGCCAGATTAGGGGGTATGTATCGTGTAATTGAAACTTACTTGTTATTTCTAACTTGAAAAAAATTTAAATTTAAAATATGAGTAGATTTCTTAGATCTAATTCTAGGGCTAGTACATCTAGATCTTCAGATTATTCTATACCACATAGAGTTAATGAAGAAGAACTAGAAGTAGAAGAATCTAAGGCAGACTGGAAAAAATGGAACATTCCTCCGGTTAAGGAAAAATGTATTTACAGCACAACTTGGGTTCAAAAAACCTTTAGTGAAGAACACCAAGTTAAAACTGTTGAACAGGTACATCCCCTCAGAAAAGAGGATGATATTTGTGAACTCCTCAGTAAGGAGACCCTTAAGAAACACAAGGCCAAAGGATTTAATTTTATTCACATAGGTCTTGTCCAAGTGGCCATTAAACCACTTATTACCCAAGGCAGAAATGCTGCTGCCTTATTAGTTCTCAGAGACGCAAGGTTTCTTGATTGGGAACCTGGTGTCTTGGGGATCATGGAAACAGGACTCCACCGAGGTCCAGTTTACTTTAATTGTTTCCCTGACTTTACTTTAGATCTACACTGCCCTAACACACACATGGCTTTGACTCTTGGTATCCGTCTCACAGGCGATATTACCAGATTAGTCAAAAACACTAGTTCCATAGTACTCATCTATAGGATTTATTACAAGTGCATTCGTACCAATTTTAATGTACAATGTCTTGATCCAAGTCCTAAAGGTAGCACTATGTTAATCCAAGCTAGTTCTGAACAAACTAACATCCAGATTCCAAAACAGATACTTTGGAAAGATGTTACTTTGCCTGAATCTTGGATTATGCAAAATGAAAATTATAATAAAGAAGCTGAATCCGTGTCAACTACAACTGATCTGGAGACTATTCAACAACTCCCAGATGGATCAGTTAAAATATCTTTTGACTCTGCAAGGTCCAATAGATCCAACAGATTTAATGACCAATCAGCACAGATCTTGGAAGGAAGAAGATCTGATTTTTCTTCTGTTTCTCATAGAGACAGAGAAATTGCTAAAGAACTTGACCATAGGTTAAAAGGAATAGCAAGCTCCTCTGAACCTATTGTTAGACCAGTATACACTCCCCTAAGTGTACCTTTACAGTCTAGATATACAGAATTTAAAAAGACAGAGAATGATGAATTTTCACCTTCTCTATCACCCACTGCTAGTGCATTTGATGGAAACCTTAATCATAACAAGGTTCATCAATTATACACTATCAATAGGGAAAAATCATTCTTTATGCCTGACATTTACAAATTAAAAAAGGATTTTAAAGCTGTAGAATTTAAACCTCTCAGAAAAGCTTTTGAATCTTTACCTTGTAAAACCCAAGAAACCATCAAAAAAGAATGGGTAAAATTAATGTATAGATTAGAATCCGAAATAACTTTTGAAGACTATCTAGAAAACTTCCATAAAGAAGTAAAGGTAGTAACTAAGCAAAAATGGAAAACAGATTCTGATGTTTTAATTTCTAGTCACCCTCCGGCAGAGACTATTCAAATTAAACATTTAACCGAAACTGTTAAGGCTACACCTTTTAAGATTCCAATTTTAGAATCTGAAAAGAAAGTAGTTGAACAAGTAAATTTTACCAACCAAAGCCTAATTACTATAGGAAAACAATTGGATAAAATTGAAACTAAAATAGATAATCTCAAAACAGAACAGGTAGAAAGACCATTAGTTAGTCTCCCTGAACATAGAAAGAATTTAGGTTTAAAAGATAAAAACCTAATTCAACAAATTGATGCACTCATCTCAAAAAAGGAATCTACTAGTACTTCTCAAGTGACAGTCATCAACCAAACTGAAGAAAGTTCAGAATACAGTAGTCTGGAAGATACCAATAACTCTGATTTTGAAATTGAAAACTTGGAAAAACAGTTTGCAGATCACCGCATGACCCAACCTATTTCCAAGCTCAATGCTTTAGTTAGGCTCCCTACTAATTCCACTAAGAATTGGTATCCTAGACCTACACCACCAGATCTTCAATATGAAGAAAAAAATGTATTAAATCAATTTTCTGTTCAGTCCAATAAACTCTATGAATGGAACATAGATGGATTAAGTGAACAGGAAATCATTAACAAAATTAGTCATCTGTCTATGGTAATTAATAATTATATGACCAATCTGGACAGCCCTGAACCTGATATTGTTAAACTAATAACCTCAGGATTTACAGGTGTTTTACGAGATTGGTGGGATAATTATCTCACCTCAGACCAAAAGGAAAGTGTTATTTATGCTGTCCTTAGAGATGATGAAGGTAATCCAATTTTTGATGAAAGGATTGGATTGGCTAAACCTGATGGATGTAATACTCTTATATTCACCATCATTAAACACTTTGTAGGAACACCTAGTAGCATTACTGCTAGGATCCACGACCAACTTACCAACCTACGATGTCCCACTTTAAGTGACTTTAGGTGGTATAAGGATGTTTTTGTTTCACGTGTCATGGTTCGACCAGATTGCCAGAAAGCATTTTGGAAAGAAAAGTTTGTTAATGGACTACCCAATCTTTTTGCCCATAAGGTACGAGAAGCCCTTAACAAAGACACTGGAATTATTGAATATGACAATCTTGCTTATGGAGAACTCATTAGCACCATCCAAAATGTAGGATTAAAATGGTGTATTGATCTGAGAATTAATAAGCAATTAACAAATGAGAAGCAAAAAGCCAAATATGAATTAGGTAATTTTTGTGAACAGTATGGATTACAGCCAGTAGCTCCTTCCCAATCTAAATCTCACAAAAAACCTAAAAAACACAACACTTATTCAAAAAATAGGTTTTATCAAAAACACAAGAAGTCTTTTTCTAAACCTAAAACTGAGATTTCTAATAAATCCAAAAAGCATTATAGGCCTAAACCTTATAAGAAATCTGCCAAGGAAAAAGGAAAAGCACAAGAAGATATTAAATGTTTTAATTGTGGCAAACCAGGCCATATTAGTCCTGATTGTCCAATTAAAAAACAAGTTAAGAGATTAAATTTATCTCAAGAAGATGAGGATAAAATCCTGGAAATCTTTAGGATAAATAATTTAGACAGTTCTGAAGAATCCGAAAGTCCGGAGCCATCAGATTCTTCCGACTACCATTCAGCATCTGATCACTCTCATGTCCAATTAAGATGTGATTGTCATAAACAAGTTCAGGTAATCACTAAACAAAATGAAGAACGCATGCTTATAGATCTAATCTCCAAGATAAAGGATCCGGATCTAAAAGAAAAGTATGTTAAACAACTTAGGAATTTGTTTAAAAAGGACAGTAAACAACCTGTTCCTGAAAAACAAATTGTAAGTCTTAACAAAACTATGGAAAGATTCAGTAAGGAAAAGAAAAAAGAAATTACCTTACAAGATCTCCAAAGTGAAGTTAATAAACTCAAAATAGAAATAAAAGAATTAAAAGCTCAAGACAAGAAATTTGCAGAAGCTTTAAGTCTTTTACAAACAGAAAAACAATCTAAAAAATCTCAGGATTCTGATCCAGAAGATCAGACTGAAGATTTCACTAATCCTTTTGATCATCAACGCTATACACAGGGGATACCAATAACCTCCTCCTTTCAGATGGAAACTTCTGGTGTAACAAACCTGCCTTCATTCCATGAAGAAAGCACTAAT